ATTCTCAGGAGGGAAGTTAATTACTCCCTGTGGGGTCGTAATTATTCCCCCGAGGGGCTGATTTCCCCCAGGGTGAGTTAATTACCCCTTTGGGGGGTGCTAATTATGTCTTGGAGGGAAATTAGTTACCCCTTGGGTGCTTTATTTAGGCCTTCAGGGGTACTTATTACATTTGGATGAGAAGTTAATAAGGGGGGTTAATTTTTCTCAGAAGGGAAATTAATTACTCTTTGTGGGGTCTTAATTACTCCCGTGAGGCGCTGATTTCCCTGAGGGAGAGTTAATTACACTTTGGGGGGTGCTAATTGCCCCTTGGAGGGGGGGAATTACGCCTTGGGGGGCAGTTAGTTACCTGTTGGGTGGCTTGGTTAGCCCTTGAGGGGCTGGGGGGGGCAGTAATTACCTCTAGAGGGTTAATTATTCTCAGGGGGAAAGTTAATTACTTCTTGTGGGGTCTTAATTACCCCCCATGAGGGGCTGATTTCCCCCAGGGTGAATTAATTACCCCTTGTGGGGGGGAATTAGTTATCCCTTAGGGGGATTAATTATCCGGTGGGGGCACTTGTTACCCCCTTGGGGGGTTAATTATCCCTGGGGGACTAATTAGCTTTGGGAGGCAAGTTAATTATTCCCTGTGGGGAGTTAATTACCCCCACATGGGCCTGATTTTCCTCAGGGCGAGTTAATTAGCCTTTTGGGGGGTGGTAGTTACCCCTTGGGGGGGGGGGAGTTAGTTACCCCTTGGGTAACTTACTTGGGTAACTAACCCAGGGTTAATTGGGGTTAATTAGCCATGGGGGAGCTGAGTGACCTGGACCGGCAGATCGAGCAGCTGCGACGCTGCGAGCTCATCAAGGAGAGCGAGGTCAAGGCCCTCTGCGCCAAAGCCCGGTAATTAACCCCTGTCATTAATTATCCCACATTAATTGTCCCCCCCTGCCTTAATTACAGCCCCCCCGGGGGGGGGGTAATTACCCCTCCCTGGGGGTAAATAATTGCCCCTCCTGGCTTTGTTCTCAGGGAGATTTTGGTGGAGGAGAGCAACGTGCAGCGGGTGGATTCCCCCGTCACGGTGAGTCGGGGGGGGATCTATGGGGCGGGGATGTGGGGACGAGGGGGCCCCGGGGGACCCTGGGGGGC